TTAGCTGGTCTAAACGCTCAGCTCACTCTCATAACTCATCACCTTCATTGTCTTATTGACCCCAAGTCTCAACTCAACAAGGTTGCATGGGATGGAGAGGGATGGACATTCACTTCATGGATGTTTATGGGGTGTGCAAATTTGGCTGCCACATTTGCCTACAAAACAGTCACTACACTTGACAGTAATTGTTCTAAAGCAGTTTGGGGGACATTTCGCGGTGACAAAGAGAAACAACAGTGCGATTTGCTGTGTTGCTGCCTCAATCCATGATTGTTTGTGGGACACTGCCGTGTGTAATTGGCTGTTGCATTTCACCCACAAGAAACACAGTCAATTCACTTGACAATATATTCTGTGAAACTCTTTGAGACGTCTCGAAGACATGTTAAGGCGCTATATCAAATGCAAGGATTATTATTACAGTATATTCTGTGAAGCACTTTGAGACGTCTCAACCACATGATAAAGCGCTATAACAAATGCAGGTATTATTTACTATTAGAATTTCTCGCTTGACTCTTCCTCTGATCTGGTCTCCAAGTGACCAGAAAATGCAGACGTAACTAAAAGTGAGCGAACTGAGGTGGAAAAGCGGAGATCTGGGTAAAGGTTTAGTTGTCGGGTCGGAGAAGTAGAGTTGCAATTCTCAGTCTGAAGAACATCTCTGCTTTGCAGCCTGACCATCCCTCATTATAATGACCGCTTTATTGAAAAGCAACCACAGAGCATGTGGTGCGGTGAGGCCAGCCACTTGCCTTGTCAAAGATAAAAGAATCAATTCGATAACTTATCACGGGTACGTCAAGCTGTGTGAGATGCATCTTAGGAACCAGAATTACAATAATAAGCAAATCTGTCTTCAGATCACACTGACAGAATGGTGCTATGTTTTCATCTCTGAGTGAGACAGATGGTTTGTTTCCACGGGTAACATAATTTTTTACGGCCTTGTATGAGACAGTCAAGATACAGGTTTCTTAATGAAAATCTCCCTCTTGGTTCAAAGTAATTAATGTTCTGCCTCAGCAGCAAATATTTGTGGAACAAAGTCTCCCGACGGAATGATCAGAGCAACTCATCCCAAAGTCGGGCTGCCAAGCACCAGCCATTTACCAGACAGGTTGGAGCTTCTCTCTCTCTCTCTCTACACACACATAGAACGATTGAGACGGGACCTGATAGAGACTTTTAAAATTAAAAAAGGATTCGCTAAGATGCACATTAACAGGCTGTTTCCAACATGCCTATTTGGGCCGAATGGCCTGTTTCTGTGCTGTAATGTTCCATGCCCACCACCTCCCATGGCCCCGTTTCCACTTCCTCCAAAAAGATCTTCAATCATGATCTAAAAGAGGGGAAGGAGGAGGCTAGGCAGAGAGATTGGGGGAGAGTTCCAAAGCTTCGGGGCATAATTGCTGAAAGCACGGCCGATGATGGTGGAGCTGAGGGGACGAGGGACAAGCAGGAGGCTGGAGCCAGGTGATCAGTGCAGTGGGAAGTGGAGTGGGAAGAAAGCAGGTCAGGGCGTGAAAGGATTTGTATAAAGACCAAGAAGGTTCAATGGCATTTTTAACACAGAGCCCAGCTGTTATTTACAGCCACCTCTGGCTGACAGAGAGAGGATTTTTTTCAGTTTTCCACACAAGGTCGGTGTTCCCCCAGGCTACAGATGGTAACGCACAGACTGCCCAGTTTCCCTGTTTGACTGTTTCCCATCCTCTCTCCCAGGACTGCTGCCTCACCCTGACTGTGATTAATCAACGAGATTAATTGCCCTCTTCCTCCAAATATCCATCCAAGGTGGAGAGGAGCAATCCCATTACTTTCAGATAATGAATTTTGTGAAGATAATACCGGATATTAAACTGACCAAATGATTTATTCTGGTGACAAAGTGCCTCTGTTAAAATGTGGCCGCCTCCAACCTACACAAAGGGTGCGTTTTACCACCACAATTCACTGCAACAGAACATCCTTCAGTTAAATTGGTTGTTCGCTTTGTGGCTGTTTGTGGTACATTGCTGTGTACAGCTGCCTGCAAAATATACAGTCAATTCACTTTACAGTATATTCTGTGGAAGCGCTTTGAGGCTCCTCGAAGATGTGATGAGGCACTATATCAAATACAAGGCTTATTATCATTGGTACTTTGAAAGTGTTTACTTGCGAAGCGCATTGGAGACGTTTTAACCTTTTACGCACTTCCATCAAATTCAAGGGTTGTTAGTACAATGCAATGATTCTTGTGAAGACACAGAGGAGCTCAAATGACCACCGTGCAGGTTAGCGCACACGACTGCATACATACAACCAGCTCCACCTGAATAACCTTCAGACAAAATTATTTATTTCTCTCGAAAGGCAGTGTTACCCTGTCGTAAAGGTGATGTCCTTGTTATTTTCTCACAATAAGCTCATGCTCAGCCGAGCTGGGTAAACTGAGCCATGTTCAGAGAATCGTCTGGGAATTGTTCATCCCTTCGTTCCGTGTGTTTCACTGATAGCTCCAGTTCCGACCCAGCTCAACAATCGGATCCGAACTCTAACTGTGAAAGGCCACACTCTCACCACAGCCCTCATTGACCTGATGTCTGGGTTCAGAGCTGGAGAACAGTCATGAGGGCAAAATGGCCCCAAGGATCTGTACTTCAGTCCACAGAGAGACTGAACCTCAGTACCCAACTCCATTGTGTGGAACCGTACTTCAGCACGAGCCAGCCCTTTATATTAATAATAGTGCCATGGGATTTTTAACCGCCACCCGAACAGGCAGACTGTTTAATGTCTGTTTAACGTCTCATCCAAAAGATGACACCTCCAACAGTGCAGCGCTCCCCCAGGACTGCACCGGAGTGTCAGCCTAGACTGCAAGGTTAATGTCCCAACCCACAACCTTCTGACTCAGAAGTGAGAGAGCTACCAACTGAGCTAGGCTGATACGCAATTTTTTTGGAGAAAAGGGGAGGAAACTGGGGGGCAGGGGGAGGAGAGAGGGAATATGCCATCTCATCCCGCAGTAATAATTTTTTATTTGCATTTAATTTTTTTGTAAACAGGATTCCTCGATCAAACTCCCAAGTTGCATAAATGGGGATTCTTCACGGCACCCAGACATGAATCACGCAGGAACTCTGCTCCATCAGGATCCGTTCCTGGAGCAGGATCCGTGCGGCTCAGTGGGAAATCTAACAGGAATATTCGCTCAACAAGAAAAGAATGCCGCAAATTAAGACTCCGTTGGGTTATCGGCAAGGTGGAGGCTACAAGACTGAGCTGTATCCTGCCCTCACATTCAGAGAGTTGCTTCATGGGGTCTCAGCCTATGGACAACTCAGAGCTGTTTGTTACCTGCAGGTCTGGCTAATTGATGCTTCTCAAATGCAATTCTTCCTCTATAAACAGACAGGGTCAATACTCTGCAAGCTTGGGATTTATTCAATGAACCTACTTGCCTTTAAAACCTCACCAACCTTTTCTTGTAATCAGCAGCCTTTCCGTTTCCATAGTAATCTGCCTACCCTCAGTATTGTGCCTAGTACATCAATCAGATGGAAGCGCAATCAAATTCGCAAACCTTTCTTATTCTTAAAAGAAATTCACATTCATAATCAAAACAAGACCCTCTTTTGAAATGTGAGTGGGTGTAAGACCAGCTTCAGATTTGTGTTAAGGCTTGTCTTTCCGTGTTACAGTTTGCAATGTTAATAAAACTCACACTGAGACAGAGTGCATCCTCGATATAAGAATTATTCATTCCTGGAAGGGAGGGCATGGGGAGAGCGAGGGCAGAGGGAGCACTGCACAAAGTGGTCATTAATTCACCGTTCATTGGCACTAAGTTGCTCGTCTCACTCAGAGAGGCTGTTAAATTGAGTTGTACAGACCAGGGAGGTCTCAAGTTTAATCCCTGATTTTGCAGTTATCTGAAAAGCCTTGAAAACAGGCTTGGGGCTGGGATGGGGCAGGATATCAAACAAGGCAAGAAGGGGTTTATCGCATTGTTAGAGATGCTGTCCTCCAGATGAGATGTTAAACTGAGGTCCTTTAATATCCACCTGAACGGTTTAAGTGAAGGATGGCACCTCTGACAATGCAGCACACCCCCAGCACTGCACTAGAAGGTCAGCCTACACTGGACCCCCCTCTCCCCACTGCGGTTGATTATACTGCTGACCCTCACTCTCCGGACTCACAGATAGAAAATGACAATGTATTGGTGAGTGTCTAGCATGTGCCAGTGGCAGGGTATGTAGAAGAGAGCAGCTTATGTGTTGTGCTGACATAAGCTCTATAGGTAACACAATAACGTGCTCTTTTATTCATATTTCATTCAAACAGATAACTTCTGAAGTCAATTAATAAAAGATGAAACTCTTTGGAGATATCATGTTGCATGATCAATGCAGCTCACAACAGTTAAAGAGATGACAGTGTCATATAACTTGATTTTGGAGTTACGCTCAAAGATAGGCTCTCACTGATTTGCAGGAAAAACACACATCCTGCAATAATTCCCCTCAAGGTAATCTGCTCACTGATATCAGAACAAACTGTGAAGTGACAGGAATCACCCCTGGACATCTGAGGCACAAAATTCCCCAAAGTCTTAGCCTTTAAGATCACTGAGGAAATTTACAAAACTCTTACTGTTTAGTCTTCATTTCCAAGTTGTTTTTCTGCAGAGAAATGCTTCTAAATTCAGACCGAGTTTAAGAGTTTGCCAAATTTCTGTGCGATGTTAAATTTTAAGACAATGGGTTGAAAGCTGAGATGGACTGGAGGCCGTTTGCAGTAATTTAGCTCATGGCTTTTTTTTTGGTAGTGGTAACTCAACAATAACTTGCATTTAGATAGCATCCTTCACATGGGGCAGCGTGTCAGAGCACTTACATTCTCGATGTTATAGGAACTGTATCAAACGCAAAGATTACAATTATTATTATCAGTCTCTCGCCTCGTCTTCAACTTTACAGTGAAACACAATAGACATTACTAACCTGATCTGAAGCCAGGTGAGCATCTGAGTGGTGCCTCCTCCAAACACCCAGACCGTGAAGAAGACAATCAGCAGTGTGGTGGTGAACATCATCTGTTTGGGTTTCGAGTCCGTGTCCCGGATGGCCAGGGCGAAGGCAATAGCACCGCGTAGACCTGGAACAACAAGTCCGACATTACACAAACTGAAATCTTAGCACCTTCTTCACTCTCCTGGAAGCTTGGAGCACGGTGCTTTTACCTCTTATAAATAGCTATACTTGATACATTCACAGGGTACCCACAAAGTCCTTACCCCCGTTACAAAACAACAATATGAGACTATGGAGGAGCTGAAACAAGTCGTGGAGTGACTGTGCATGTTGTGAGCAAAATGTGGCAGCCAATTGTGCACAGCTGTGTCCCACAAAAAGCTATGGGGTGAGTGAATGATTTTATTTGGGGGAATTGTTGGCCAGGACACTGGGAAACAGAAACTCCCTTCTCTTTTGGAATGTGCCATGGAATCTTTAACGTTCACCTGAACAGGCAGACAGGACCTTGGTTTAATGTCTCATCGAAAGGAAGGCACCTCTGACAATGCAACACCTTGATGAAAATGATGAAGTAATTTCTACCAATGAAGGGGTCGGTTCTGCTCAGCCTGTACAAGTCCGACATTACACAAACTGAAAGAGTGTGGGAGAGAGAGCGTGGGAGAGAGAACAGGAGCGAGCATGCTGGAGATCTCATAGCCACTGGCTTGAAGGCAAGATATTGCCCTGAATAATTGCTGTGGAAAGCTAGCTGAAGCCGATTTGAGATGTGATTGAGACTGGCAGCAGTAAGTGCTGGAGAGTTCATATCAGCGGATTAATAGAGTACTCTAATGTCAGGAACTTCAGATAAAAACAAAAATCAATGGCTTTTCCAAATAACAATTTTACAGCAAATTCTCTACAAGTTGCTGGACATTGATTGAAACAGTAGCAAGGCTCAACTCCTCCATACCGGGCTGCTAATGTTCAGATAGTTATGAACTGTGGAGAAGGGTGATTTTGGGGAACATATTAACTACTGCAGACAAAAACCCTGGACCGCACTGTCTTACAAGTACCTCAACCCTCTACCTAAAACACATATTGAGGTTTCCCTAATAGATCAGTTGCTTCAGTGTTATCCAGTGGAACAGTCTCGCATTCAACCTGTGGACAGGGCTGAGTTAGCTGACAATGGGCTTCGATGCCGTGAGCTATAGTGTGGGAGATCAGTCAAGCTTCCTTCCTGCTTGACTTCCAGGTCAAGTTGATTGTCAGGCTATTGCTACAGACCCCCTCTACCAGTCTTCCTTTCCCCACAGTCAAATAACTTATTGTGCCCCTGCGCACACAAATAGAGATACTGGAAGGTAGAAAACACTGTCAGAGCTGTCCTCACCCCCACCCCCCCCAGGAAAAGTCAGCAGTAATAGGAGAGGAGGAGGGGAAATAGAGCAATGGAATATGAGCCCAACTCACTCTCGCTCATATTACACATTATTACATTCTTCATGCCAATGCATCACCGACTATTAATACAATGGATTTACCTGAAAACATCATCATGTGTTGAAAGTTCCATGGGATTTTTTGTTTTCGGCCCAAGTTCAGCAAGAAAGAGAGAGGGTAGATATTACAAGCTCGAGCTACAAAGATGGCAATCTGTTAACAGATGGTGTTAAGGAGAGTAACACGTTTATCACTCAGCCCGTAACAGAACACATCACATCCGTGGCATTATCCTCTGTGCTATTGAGATCTCACCGCAGGAACAGGCTTCCTTGGAGGCAAGAGAGTTAAAGAGTAAGTACAATAATTATAGTGGAAGCCTGTTAGGCCAGACACATCGAGACGGCCGTTTCGTCCACCTTGAGAGGCCTCTGAGGTTAGCCAAAATACCATTCCCGCCCACCAGAGGAATGGCGGGGATGAGGTTTATAATAATGTGATAATGTTGTTTCACTTGAAATAATGTTAACTAACCCAACAGGACACCAAGTATTTTAACTTAGGAGTTAAAGTTAAAATACTCTCACAGAATTCAACGTCTCAACCGAAGGCCAGCCCTTCCGACAATGCGGTGTTCCTCAGGATCACACTGGAGGGTCACCCTAGACTGTGATTTCAGTTCCTGACGTGGAGCTTGAACCTGCAACCTTCTGACTCAGAGGCAAGAGTATTAGCACTAAGCCAAGCTGATACACTAAGCCAGGCTGAGTTACCAGGAAGGGTGGGAGACACCATAATTCACTTAAGGAACAGGCTGATTCTGTCATGGGAGCGGGCATGGTGTGATCCTATGGCTGAAGTGTCTTATTCTGATGAAGGCAGCTTTCTCCCTTCCCCTGAACATCCCCAGTTGCAGATCGTAATTCACACTTAGAAAGGATCGCTGGGGAAAATAAGAGAGGACTTTGGATCTTATTATAGCCAGCCGATCACACAAAGAGATTTCAGGGTAATTTTAGACCTACTCAACAAATCTTCTTTTAAAAGCTCATTTTGAATTAATCAAAAACAAATCCCAGAGAGAATTTCATTTAAATCTTGATGATCAAACCACGGCTCTGCAGCATTTAATTATTATTTATAAGATGGCAAACGATATTTTGAAGAGGGAGATATAGAGCTTATATTTTTAAACCTCCCAATCAAATGGTAAAAATCCAGTGACGTATCAGCCATATAAAGGATAATGTGAACCTTTCAATAAATCACAACAATAATTTTCTTAAGAGGTGCAATAGGAAACTTTGTGCCCAGGGATTACTTTGGATTTAGCCCTGGGTTAAAAGCAGAAGGAAAGCCAGATGGAGATGGGCAGGAGATGGGAGAAAGGTAGAGATCTGCATGGGTCATGGTTGCAAAGAGGAACAACTGGGTGTCTGTGCTATTCAGCCCACAGCACTACCAGCCAACTAGAGTCAGCATATGTCGGTCTGTGGTCAGTAAATCTATATTTATCACAACGAGAAGTTGGAGGCTGGAAATGGGACTTGCGTTTTTAGTGTACCATATCACACGAAACCTCTTCAAATAGCTTAATGGCAATGAATATTTTTTTTAGGCCAAGTGGTCAGCATTGTAGCCCAGCAAGGTCCCCAAAACAGCCATGAGATGACAGACAAATTTATCTGGAGGATTGTTGGCCTTGAGAACAGATACACAAAGAGGCAGACGGGACCTCGGTTTAACATCTCATCCAAAGGATAGCACCTCTGACAGTAGTTTCCCCCGTTCCCCAGTAATGCACTGAAATGAAAGGAGGTACCTTGCTGGTGGTGCACACAAAGGACTTAATTGAGATGAGACGTCCCAAATGGCAGTAATCGGCAGATCACTTCAATTTCAATTAAAAGTACCTTTCCCCAGATTTTTGACAAGTAGCCTGGAGTACTCATTAAATATTAATAACTCGAAATCCCAGCGAGCCAGGCACCATCTTTTTCCAAGGTCTGATCAAATTACTGCTCAGCTGAGCAGCGTGTGAAACCAGAACGTGGTCAGCTTGCGACAATTAACTGGAAACCCCACCTGGCGAAGGCCCTTTCAATCTCTACGGTTCTTTCAACTCTGTCGCTGTGAGGTTCAGGAGACACAGAGCTCAGGAACCAGTTCCAAGCAATGGTCTCCATGGCAACAATCGAAAACGAATAGTGCATCCACAACAATTGCGCACCTCTCTGCATCCCCCAACCCTCCCTGGTTCCCCCCCCCCACCCCATCACGCCACTAAATATTCAGAATTGAAATCATATTTGTTCTTTTTTGACCCACTTTAAATCCTTATGGCTCGTCTCAAGACCTTCCTTTTCGACAGTGCCTTGAGTCGTCTTCCCTTCTCCAACTCCCTTGCCCTCCACCCCACTCTAATCCCAATCTGCAGCTCAGGTGCAAACGCCTCACTGTCCTGCGGTTTGGAATGTCCTTCTTTCTTTAGTCAGCCGGGTGTCTGACACATGCGGAAACCCATCACCATGCTTAAGGGTATCCAAACCAAGCTGAGATTTTCATGCATCCCACCTACACGTCAAAAAAAAAGGGATAGATTGTTGGAATGGAACGCACACTCTCTCCCTGGAGGGACGCATAAATAAAGAGAAGGGCCCAGAAGGGAAAGGCCAGGGCAAGAACAGACAACAATGAGACAAATCTCCAACTGCCTGCTGCTGCTGATGTAACCAGTTTGATGAAAGGATACAAAGGCTCCAATGATGAAGAGGGCGTTGAAGATGTGATTCTGGTAGGTGAACAAGGCCACGCCCATGTAACAGAAGATGAAGTTCTCGGCCATAAAATTCATGAACTCGAAGAGCTAGAAGACAGGAAGACAGAATTCATTACAGTCAGGAACCAGCACACAAATGGCAGCCGCACATCCCCTCAGCTCACTGACTCTCTCACTCCCTTCCCTATTCCCACCTCATTCGCTCGCTCTCCTCTCTCCCCTTGACCTCACTAACCAGGCTGATTGAAGCTTCAATGAGCTCCAGTCCCAATGTGCACCATGAATCCACAACCCTCTGTCCCCAAGGTGAAAGCTGGGGAGCGCTGGACTAGCGGAGGGCTGTCTTTCAGATGAGATGTTAAACTGAGGTCCTGTTAACCAGTTCAGGTGGATGTTAAAAATCCCACGCCACTATTTGAAAGAGAAGGGTGATCTGGTCAACAAAGCTTCGGACAAATTGGTCATTGAGTTTGCAGTGACACTGCTGCTGTGATCGCTTCGCACATACCTAACTGTAATTATCTGCGAAGCGTCTTGAGACGCCTCAATATTTTAGGAGCTATATCAAATACAAAGAATATTATTTATTAGAAACAATGTCTGCCTGTTTTAGTGGTTCAGATGGAATTTGAACATCCCAAGCCCCTTCAGCATAGTGCAGGGATCCTGGTTAATATCGCTGCCTCACGCAAATTCACACACACACTACAGTGAAAAGTAACTCGCTGCATGAAGCATTTTGAGACGGTTGGAAACACTTTTCCGTCAGAAAAAGGTCAATTGAGAAAGGTTTGGATTCGGCATCACTGTTGCCATGACAACAAAGGTAGATAGAAAGAACTGGTCGCAGGAGGAGAGAAGCTGATCCAAGGCACCCGATTCTTTTATCCCAAACCAGTCGTGCAGCCCGTGTCCCTTTCCCAACAATGCCCGCGTTTCACAGCATCAAAGGGCTCATTTTCAGCCACTCTAGGTCTCAATGAGTGGCTCTCAGCTGCTTGCATTCTGCTCTGCTCGTCAGGTTAGGGAAATACTGAAAAACCTAGAGAACAGGTTTGACTCGATCGGATTTCAGTAACGGGATTGGTTATGGGTACAATGTAGAGCTGAGGCTAAGTTCAGCTGTGAAAGGAAGAGGGTCATTCCCGGGGACAAGCTTCACTGACGCAAATGAAACAATCTGCTCGTTTTACCTGTTGTTAAATCTCAGAGACATTTTAAATGGAGTCAATTTTCAAAGCGAGGGTGGGGAATGCCTCGGCATTTTCCAGGATGAGGCAGTGATCCGGACCTTGACCGGTTTACTGATTTACCCCTGACGCAAGGGCACTGAGGCCATCTGCAGCCCTGCCCACCCGACCATCAGAGGACACAGTATTTTCTACGATAGACATGTTTAACTGAACTAAAGTGACTACTACTCTTTAAACCTGTGTCCCTTGTTCTGCTGTCTTGTTGCATTTTGAAGTATGAATATAACATTAGATTCTCTGGAAAGGCTGGAAAACCATCATCACTGAGGTGTGAGGCACTGGGTGTGTTTTTATAAACACGATTACTCTAACAGAATGTGAGTTACAAGTAACACACGTCGCACTGGAAAGGACAGGGCTCGAATGAGAGCTATTGTGAGGAACTAAGAGTATGCACCATACGCACAAGCCCCGAGCTGCAATTTCATGCCCAGCGAAGCGAGCAAACAACAAATAGGTTGCAGTTGACACGCGTCTCTCAGTAATATCTTTAGCAAAGGGTTTGCAGCTCAGTGTAACTGCCACTAGCCACAGATGTTAACCTAGCCACTAGCCACTGCCGATTGTAACACAATCCTATGGGAATAATGGTAATAATAATTTTTTTTGGAAAGAATTATTAAAGCTCAAAGAACGCAATTAATAATAATCAATGCATTTGATACAGCGCCTTATCACATCTTTGAAACATCTCAAAGTGCTTATATACAGGATATACTGTAAAGTGGATTGACTGTGTATATTTTTGGGAGAATCGTGACAGCTAGTTTGCGCACAGCAATGTCCCACAAACAGCCGTGGAATGAGCGACCGATTTTTTATTTGGGAGATTGTTGGCCAGGACACCTGTAGAGAGAAATTCCCTTCTCTTTTCACATAGTGCCATGGGATCTTTAATGTCCACCTGAATAGGTAGACAGGATCTTGGTTTAGCGCTTTGAGATGTCTCAAAGATGTGATAAGGCGCTATATCAAATGCAAGGATTATTATTATTTATTATTATAAAGTCTCATATGAAGAATGAGACTCGCTGGGGAGTGATGAGTCTCGCAAAGGGAATCCGACACGCGTGAGGGTAGTGAAGCAGAGCCCTCGGTGAGCTAAAGGCTAAAGGCTTTCCGTGAAGGCAGAGCTTGTCTCAAGAGACAAACAATTGGTGGAAAGACGCGAGGCCCACTTTGTAACAAAAGGAAAGGGCGGGTGAGTGGGAAGGTGGCCACAAGCTACCTAATAAAAATAATAATCCTTGCATTTGATATAGCACTTTATCACGTTGTTGAGATGTCTCAAAGGGCTTCACAGAATATTCTGTCAAGTGGATTGATTGACTGTAATTTTGTGGGCAAAACGCGGCAACCAATTGGCACAGCACACACATATACATTGGTCTGGCGAGGAAGTGGGTGGAAGGGAGTTAAAGAATTTGATTGCGTGAGGCAGATTAATAGGTACGTACTATTGCAATTGGAAAACCACTTAAAAATTCAGAGCTTTATGCAACAATGCCTGTGGCTCTAACTATCTCTACTGGTAGTAACCTGATAATAAGTCCACTGTTGGGCTCAGTTGCCCCCTCTAGCAACACTCGTTACTCATTACCGGCTGCATTACTGACTGTATCACTTCTGACCTTAATCCATCCCAGGCAAAAGAGGAACGGAAGAATAAAGGGTCAAAGAGAATACCTGTATTTAATATTAATAACTGGACACTAAAGGTTATAAACGCATGCTGAGAGGGAAATAGCCAATGGGAACAAGAACAATATAATAATAATCCTTGCATTTGTCTCAAAGCGCTTCACAGAATATACTGTAAAGTGAATTGACTGCGCAATTTGCGGGCGATACGCAGCAGCCAATTGTGCACAGCAATGTCCCACAAACAGTCGTGGATTGAATGACCAAATCATTATTATTTTTTTTAAGGTATAATTACTCCTGGTGATCTGCCATCATCAGGTCTTGCTTTATAAGGTGGCGAGTTTCCATCACGCTCATTTTGGCTCACCAAAGCCAAGCTCCGTTCCTGCATTCATTTCCCGATGACTTGTTGAACGCAGCCGGAATATAGATCTGTTGTGCACCAACTTGAAGGATCATCGATTGAGAGACGCAGGGACCTAGGAGGCTATTGGATTTGCGAGACTCGCGAATTACAGGAAATTATGCCTGTGTCTCCGGATGATAAATAAAGGGTTCTCGAGTTAATCATTATGGATCACTGAAAACAAGCAAGGTGCCCTTTCAAAGCAAATTCAGGGCAATTACGTTACTGAACATTGGTAACACAAGAGTAGGGGAGAAATCAAGGTTTTCTCTCTCAATTGAGCAGGAAGCCACATTGCAATGCCAAACACTGTGAAGGGTTCAGTCTCTGTTCCCTATTCACATCCTTTATGCATGCCTTTCCCACAGGTGTAGATTTATTGACCTGCAGAGAAGTTGCCAACATTTATGTGAATGACCGTTCCTCCTAATGTGACAGTGGCCGCCTCATTCAGGTAAGAAATATGTACAAAGGCATTAAGGCATTCATATGCTGTAGCATTTACACTGCCAAAATATTGGCAAGTACTTTCAGGAGTGTGTTTTCCTGGGGAGGAGGGTAAGTGGGGTCTGCTCAAATTCAGCTGGCTCTAAGATGAAGTGCTTGGCAATCGAACATCTGAATTAAGCCCACGCCCTGTGGTCGTCTGCAGTCTAGTTCCTGAGCCAGGTGGGTCTGCAATACTCCAAAGCACAGCTGATGACAGCCTAGTCCAGCCTAGCTCATCAGCAGGACTTGAAAAGGCAAACCAGTTACTGGTTTGCACCTCTCACTCAGCTACTGCTAACTCTGCAAGCCAAAGCCCTAACAGGGAGGTGGTCCTAGCTGGACAGTAGTGAGAAGCTTACCAGATAATGCTTTCACTGACAAGTTACTCAGTTTTAGCTGGTTAAAGCACTCCTAGATGCTGCCCTGCATGAAGGGCGCTATATAAATCCAAGTTGTTCTTAAATGCCAACAGTACCAAATGCACAATCTAGCGTCCCTTAAGCCTTGGTTTGACGTTTGCCAAACTGTGCCTCGTACTCAGATCAGGTAAGCAGCGTGCATCCCTCCAGAGAGAGTGAGCGCATTCCATTCCAGACACAGCAATTTCCATGTGGAGATGGCTGACATGAAACTCAGTCTGGTTTGGATACTTTTGGATAGCACAGTGGGTTGCAAAGGGCAATATCAGGACAGACACCACCAACAACAACAACTTGGATTTATATAGCGCCCCCCACGCCAGACGGCGTCTCAGAGCGCTTCACAGTAACGGATCCCAGGGCCAAGCCAGGGGGAGGGGGAGGAAGGTGACCAAAGGCGCGGTCGAAAAGAAAGGTCTTCAGCCGAGACCCGAAAATAGGAAGAGAGAGTGCGAGGCGAAGGGAGTGAGGAAGGGAGTTCCAGAGCCTTGAGGCGTAGTAGCTGAAGGCACGGCCACCGAGGGTGGAGCGGAGGACTCGGGGGACAAGGAGGAGGCCAGTCCCAGTGGAACGAAGGCAACGGGCACTGTTTTGAAGAGAGAGGAGGTCAGAGAGGTAGGGGGTGCAGAGGAGTGGAGGGATTTGAAGACAAGAGTGAGGATTTTTTTTCTTTGCCCAGGGGGTAATTAACGACTGGAACAGGTTACCAGCTATGGTGGTTGAGGTCAGTACACTGGACTTTTTTATAAAGCAACTTGATGCTGTGATGAGGGATGGTAGGGTGGACGTTCTTGTGATTTTGTGCACTGTTTGAAAAGGGAAGTGCCTCACCCAAATAAAAGTTCCCCTACATGAAATTAGTCACTCATTTCATGG